AGTATTAACGGAGCCACAGAATTCTTTACTAACTCAACTAAAATTACAATTTGCCATTGATAACGTGAGTTCTTATTGGTAATTACAAACCTAAGTTTTTCTTGTTTCTACATGCTGTGTTTCTACTCTTTATAGGTTGATCTTACCTTTTCATCCGAGGCTTTACAACAGGTTGCACAGTTGGCTTTGGAACGAAAGACAGGTGGGAAGTTTTGGAATTTGTTTTTTTTTCCTAAACTTGTAAAATCTCTCAATTTCCAAGTTGTTTGGTTTGGTCTAAGAGTGCAGCTATTCTTGATGAGACTGAATCAAGGGTAGTTTAGGAGCACGTGCATTACGTTCTATTCTCGAAGGTGTGCTGCTTGATGCAAAATTCACAGTCCCAGGCAGTGACATAGAGTCTATACATGTAACACGGTAAGTTTGCTTGAGTAGTTCGTTATATGATACCAGTAGAAAATCCAAGGTCTGGCAAATTGTTTGATAAGTTCATTACAAGAGAATTTCCTTTTCAGAGAAGCCGTGTTGGGAGAAGCTGAAGTGCAGTACACAAGACGGGTGATCGAAGATGAGAAAGCTGTGTCAGCTATGTAAATAGTCAACTGAGCTGATTTGATCATTATTCGAATTATTGTGATTCAACTACCGTCTTTTATTTTTCTTAATAGAGCCCAAAGCCTAGTTGATCTTTTGGTCTTCGTTATAGGTTTACCTCGAGTGAATATCACTGGTGAACATTTTCATCTAGAACGAGCTATGTTTTATTTCCGTTTGTAGATTTAATCATTGTTATATGGCATATTTTAGACTATAAGCTGGTTTTAAGCGGACGAAACCGTTATGTACATAAATTAAATCAGTGTTGTAATAAAAGCCAACATCTTTACGATAAATCTTAGTAGTGCTTTTAGTATTTGTGCTGTTGTTTGTACATTCTCCCCTATGTGTTTTGATGGCAGCTGAGCTTCCTCCAATGAATTGTACATAGTAGGTAGGGATAAATATCCAAAAATCACCTTTTTGAAACCATGCGAATATCAGATGCGATCGAGATGAATGTGATCAGGTTTGGCTACTTTGTTGCTTGCTTGATACCCCGTGAAACAAAGACATTGACGGCTACTACTAGATGTCATGAAATCGTAGCTTCTGACAGATTCTATTGGTCCATCATTTCAAAGAGCGATTATGACTTGACTTTCTCCACATTTGCTGAATGAGTGATTGCCACAACCGTTCTCCAGTTAATACGTTCGTTATCCGAAGTTTCTGGGACCGTTTTTGGTGATTTGAGTTGGCATCCTTGGTGAGTTGATTGTAAACAAGATAAAATGACATCTAATATTTCTGAGATACGTCGTCGGGTTTTCGTTGGCGTATGAGCATAATTCCTAATGTGGAATCCTTTTTGAGATCACGCTTGTACGCATGATTGTCTGTCGTACTGTGTTCTGTCATTCGAATCAGGCCTGACCTAACTAAAGGGCTTTAGATAAAAGGCGACGGTAGGGGAGGAAGTTTTGTCATTCGTACTTGGTCTTGTACATTTTGTGAATTGTACAACAGGATATTATAGGTTTCACAGATGCATTAGTTTGACAGACAAAAAACGACAAGCTGAACACTTGCGTACCTGGAAACTACCAGTTGAACATTTCATATGCTCTTGTCTTACGATCGTGCAGCGATATGGGGATAGGATAGGATGGAGAACGAATAGGATTAATAATTCATCTAATCTAGACTAAATGAAGACAGGTCGAGAGTTGTTGGTGAAGATATCGGTGAATGTGCTGCAGATGACGATTCCTTGTCACGTTGATTTCAATGAGTGTTCCGTCTGAGTATGGTCGCCTTGGCACTGTCTCTGTAGAAGACCATCCAAACGTTGCACACACCCTTCTTAGGGCTTGCAGGTTATACTACGGTTCCTATGCTCTTAGCCTTTCTGCAATATCTATACTTTCAGAGTTGGTGATGTCTGCAGCCGCTGGGCAGCCTAGTTTGGATTTTCAATAGATCTTTTTTGACATATCTCGAACTCTTAACATCCAAAGAGCTATGCCTTCGTGAGCTGATTATATTCTCCAATGTAATCACGATTAAGCCTTTTTCTCAAGAACCACCTGTGGAATAAAATAATTCCCCAAACAACCCGCACCTCCCTGAGTTATCTATCTCCTCCTTCCTGCCAAAAAAAATTTTGCTTGAAAGGATCATGGCCCTAACAGGGTAGAAATAGCTCCAGAAGCTATTATGAGATTCTGTTCATTATGATTACTTAGTTCAAGTAGAGATCTAATTCCGAGCCGAAACAAATCAAGCCATCTTTAGTTTTAAGCTACAGCTTGTCAATGGAGTCCGCCGTGTCTGACTCAGTGTTTTTGTCAAAAGACTATTTCTCGGCATGTGTTTGATGAACCGTTTGTTTCGAACAAGTTAGCATCTACTAAGAACTACGCATCTGTAATTTTCTACTTGTTCAATTTTCTTTCAAACTGAGACACTTGGCTTGTACATCATCCGAGAGCGAAGCGGTCGGCCAACTTTTTTCTTCCTACTTTCACTTTTTGAATTCGGCTTTAACACCATCTCCAACTGAACTGGTAGGAAGTCAGACCGAAGGATCCACCGCCCAAACGTAATTCTAAGAATCGAGGTCGTTAACATCTAAAATATCTCTTGCAAGGTGAAGTCAGAATTGAAGTAAGACCAATTAACACAACCAACAACAGGCCAGCCTCAGTATCCCACACACTGGATTTTTCCGTCTATGGCGTCGACGTGATATTTTCCAAGTGACTTTTACGTTACAATTTAACTAGCTACTAGTTCGTGAGACTTTCAGATAGTTCTGTTAGAGAATAGTAAATTAAAAATATTCATTGTGTACAACAATAACAACGATAACAACCTAATAAGAACGAACTATGAAGAATTATTCGTATAACACTTCCGTAAATCAAAGATCAAGAAGAAATGTGAGAGATAGCTCTGGAGAATTAGTGCTGCTTAGCAGCCTGGACAGCAGCCGACGGTCCCAGAAGCATTTGCCGTTGTTGAGCGGCCTACAAAAATACAAAACAAAGTGTTAACAATAATTATTATGAACTCATAGAAAAACTAAATTAGTAGCTGATTCAAACCTGAGTTTTTTCGAGATCGCTTCGTTCCTTCTCGATAACATAAGGCATGAACATTATAAGTGACGTCGTAGCAGCAATCCAAATGCCTTGACGAGCCAGATACCAAAGACTCTTCGCACCCCACCAACTCCATGACACACCATTGCTGACCGCCTTGCGAAGACCTGGCGGCATCATTTCACCGAGACCCTCGAGCCTTTCCAGTATTGTCTCTTCGAGTTCATCATCGGGAATGTCGTCGAATTCGTCCCTACCTCTTTGTGCCATCTGTAACTGTTGGTGAGGGTCAAATAACAACAGCAAAGCACGAATAATCAAGACGGCGAGGTTTAAAAAAGAAAGACAAACTTCGTTTGATACCAACTGAAATGTGAAGTTACTTCACTCCCGATATAGATATGTAACAATTAGTGCATTAAACAAGAAATCCTGAATGTGTGGGCTGGTCTATTCGTGACGGAATAAAAAAGTCTGGGCAAGAACGCTTTCTTTCATGACTATGAACTTAAGGATAAAGCTCCCGGCGTCAACAAATCTCTCGGGAATGCGCCAACGTTCAATTTTTGGTTTCGTTTAAGATGACTGAATGCATATCTGGTCTTTAATGACTCGCGATAGCCTCCTGCTGTATCGAGTTAGTGCTGCCTATCCTCCCAGACAAGCCTTATACCAATTCACCGTCCCGGAAGGATGGATGGCTTGGCGAGCCATGAACACGAGATCAAACCATCGACCAGCGATTTTCATTCGTGTCTGTCATAGAGCACCTCTGACCATTGCACCACAAACGCGAGCTCATAACTCACTATACACGATAGAAATGTCACTTTTCACATCAAAACGACCTAATTTTGAGTATATTATAGAGATAGAGAGAGAGAGAGAGGAGGAGAGAAAGAAAGAGAGTCCGTAGTGATAATTTAGGACATAACAGTCATAGGACAATCCTGCGTAACAAAGCCCATAAAAAGACAAAGATCTGGGCGTTGATTGATCAACCCCTAAGGGATGCGTCATGAGATCTGGGTTCGAATTCGGCTGACGCTAATGTTTTTGCACAGCACTCCACATTATCGGGTAAATTGTTACATTATCCCATCGCAAATGGCGGTCAAATAGAATCATTTCCAATCGTCTTCAATTTTTGATTTCGTCTGAGGTTATTGAACGCCCATATCACGTTCAAACTTGATCTACCACCTTCAAAATACAAATTATCGAAAATGATGAATTTTCAAGAGCAGATGGAAAGAGGTAGTAACTCTGTTCCGCTTAATAAGTGTTAATAACTGATACCTATGAGATATCGACCACAGCAAAGATAACTGACTTCAAAGCATCGGTCCTAAAGAATGCGAAGACATTGAGTGCGTTAGCCGGATAGATTTATTTTCAACAATTTCGTGCTATAGGCTCAATCGACAAAGAATGTATGAGCGATTGGTGGTGCTGAAATTAAAGGAAAGTCGCTTCTCACATCAACACCTATGATCGGGAGAAAAATGACTATTCAAGTGATCGACGTCCATAGAGGACGATATCGTCACAGGATATTTAGGGCGAGCAAATGCCGTAAAGTAAAGTCCTTCAAAGCGGAGCATTTTATAGGTAATTTGGAAAAATGGGCTGAAAATAACTCGCACATTATGGGTGAACAACGGGTTCGACTCCCGTCTGAGGTCTCTTTGTTGCCTACCACTCAATTCTCCAAGGTATATTTGGAACATCAGAGCACTGCGAAAAGTAGTAAAATAAGAAATCTTGTAGATTATATATCACATATTTTTCTTTGCAAGCCAAATTTGAGGTTTATCTAATATATACTCAAACATGCAAATTAATGTTCAAAATTTTTGCGTCAGGCGGGACTCGAACCCACACCTCACTCTGTCCCGGAGCGCGTGATCTAACCTGTTGCACTACTGACGCGCATGTCGATAAGCGACTACCTTAGCAAGGTCGCTACCGCTCGCTTGTTAATAAATAGATGCGCTGTAGCGTAGGAAGAGTGGTGGGCAAAACAGGCAGTAGTCCAACTGGTTGGAGCACGCGCGTCCCAATAGAGTGAGATGCGTGTTCGAGTCCCTGTTTACGCAAAAATTTTGCACGTCACTCTTCATCGTTGGGTATATGTATTATACCACCACAAGCGGTAACAAGCGGTTGATTAAAGAGATCTAAAACAATATGTAGTTTACGCAGATAGAAGAATTAGATAAATGATAATACTCACTAGAAGTAAATGAATAAATAACAGCAATAAAATAATGGGACGACGCGGCCGAGCGGTTGAGTGCTCGCCGCGGCGCGCGTGGAGCCGAGCTTCACCCCCACCTCCCTCTCCGGCAGTCAACGAACGCCCTATGGAACGCCATAGCCAGGCTATCCCCGAGATTCCAAGGAGACTCGCTCGACCAGTATCCTACGAGGTTTAAGAAGAGGACGGAAAACGAGTCGATAGCTTGCAGTACTCGGATCCGGACAAGAAAAAAAATGTGATGACGGGTCGTGTAAATAAAATATAATGACGAAATAACAACAAATATTGTCCGAATGGATTTTCTTTGCAAACCAAAACTCGATGTTTCGCTATGTGAACGTCGAGTCTTGGTTTCTAAAGAAAAAAGCGTGATCTACCGAAAAATGCCGAGCCTGGGAGCTGAGCTTAAAACAGTCAGCAGAGGGGGACGGTGTCGTCCTCGCATCGTATCGTATCGTCTCGTCGTTTCCGCGCTTGATGGTCCTGACACGAATGAGCGACATCAGCACGGAGTCCTTTAAATTTCAAACTGGCGCAATTTTTCGAATGATCAGTGTCCACCCGCAACCGCATCCTGTTCAGCTGGTCTTCTTCTTCCTCTTTTTTTCCGTTTTTTTTTACCTTCTCATTTTTCCTCTGCTAAAATCTTGCTTCTCTTCACTTTTTGTCTAGTCGCCGAACCGTATTACTTTGCTATGAGTGCTTCTGGATGTGATTCAGGTTCAATAAAGGAAGGAACGACGAGTGATTTGCTGTTTACTAGACATTCTCAAGGAAATAAAAAGAGTTCTAGTGTCATTAAGAGCTAAGAGAGTTGAGTGGTAGGCGGAACATTCGACTCCAGCCGGGAGTTGAACCCGCGTTCCCCCCATGCCGAGGTCGCACACTACCATTGTACCACCGCGGCGAGCGAGAAGAAGCAGTCATTTGTTTATTTTAGAAAGTTTACTGTTACGGATTTCTGCGTGTTTCCGAGAAGCGCACTGTTTCCTCTCCATTTTTTCTGGATAGATTAGCTTCCGACTGTAGTAAATATTCGTACCTCATGCTTTGTTGGGAATGCCTAGGACCTGTAACTTACTAAACCGACCTTCATTTGACCCGCCCTGAGTAGTTACTAAAGAGCTGAACGTTTATAACTACTCGTAGATCCTCCAGAAGCTGATGTCACGCCGTCTTGGCCACTTTGTTGTTTTCCTGTTCACATTGTGTACATTCGTTATTGTCGTTTTTGGACTGTATAGGATGTAGTGAGTTCTTTTTTCCTGCTTTCTAGGGTACGCATCGTTAGCGATGAATCCAAATGATAGCGTCTTATCAACTGTTTCAAACGCCAGCCCAGGAACGACGGTAAGAGTTTTCTGTTGTTTTTTCCACTTATACTATTTGTTATTGGGATTTCAGTTATTGGCAGCAAAAGTTTCATTAAGAATGTTTGGGCTAGAATTCTAGGTACTTCTCAACTATAAGGGAACAAATGAAAAACCGATTCCATTCGCATTACAAGAGCTTTTAATAGGAGTACTAGAAACCATTTGAAAGCTGAGATTTCGGGCTCCAGCTCCACATCGCCGGTTTTTTGAAACACCATTTTGTAACGCTGTAAAATTCAAAGTGAACTTATCCTTAATATAGTCACGTGTTTTTTTTTTCTAATCTCGTTTGTGGACAAAACTCTTCGCGTTAAATGTTAGTACCCATTCGATAGCCAAAGTTTCGAAGAACTCGGAAATGTTTTTGCTTTTTGAAAAAGCCCTTTTGATAGGGCTGTGGGCGTTAGGAAAGACTTGTGTTATAAACCTTATCGGAGAGGGATTATTCTTTCGATTATCATTACGCATTCGATATTGTAAATTGCAATGATTCCAACGTTGTGCTTATTTTCTGGGGATACCGTCAAGCAGGGAAAATCGATCGAGTTTTACATTTTCGACGACCTCGTTTACCGGCTAAATTACAGGACCGGACAGGGGCTATCGATCGCTTTTGAAATGTTGTCATTCAATTGGGATTTTTGCACCGCATCGACAGAAACGATAGAAACGTGTGATTGTAGTAGTATGGAAAATCTCTGTACGCTAATATGCTTTTCTTACTTCCAGTTGAGTTATACGCATTCAAAAGAAGGCGCGCGTCAGGTTGTAACATAATTTTTTTTTGGATGCTACATCGTTGTAAAAGTGTTTTGAAAAACCGGCTACGTGGGGCTGTAGCCGCAACTCTCAGCTTTCGAATGGTTAACAACAGTCCTATGAAGAGTTCTTCTCCACCGAATGAGGTCGATTTTTCATTTGTTCTCTCATTACTGCAAGGGAAATGTTAGACACTGGGTAAATGCGCAAATTTAACGTCATCTGGAGTTCTCAAAACTACTTAGGTGTTTGTTTTTTCTTCTAATTTTCCTCGACGATTTAGGCAATGGCAAGGGTGGTGGCAAATGTTGTGGATATGCAGCAACAACTTGTGAGTCAGTATCAGGCAGTTGTGAACGCATTGGAGGCCTTGAAGGTTTGTATCTATGCGGATCCGTTTAAAGAGTCTGTATCTGACGCTCATTTCACTTTATCAATGGACGAACTTATAGTTGATGTTGATTGGGCTCAATGAATTAACTGCACTCAAATAAGAACGCAGTGGGGCAGTGCTTAGAGGTGCTGTGTGCCGCGCACAGAGTCGATGGTGCGACTCGTGCTCATGGTTCACCAAGCCATGCATTACTCTGAGGTCGGTACAGTGGTACCGGACTTGCCTGGTAACTTAAATAGTACTGACTGACTCAGTACAGTGCAGCGGTAGGCCACTGAAAGTCAGCGTGAAGGCTGGATATGCATACAATCACCTCAAACGAAGCTAAAAATTGAAGAATGCATAGCACATCGCTCAGGGATTTGTTAATGGCGAGAGTTCATTTGGATTTCGTTCAGTATTATCCTATGCTAAACTAAATTTCCGTGATTGCATGCTTCGTTTCCGCGCGCGCTATCGATCTGCCCTTTTACTTTTGTTGCATTGTTATTCACTTTAGTGGCATCAGGAATTCTAAAACTGTAATCAGTCTGTCAGCAGTACGCTTGAAAGAGAGAATTGAAATCGGTCATTTATCAGGAACAGCTTTTGAACACGTCGTTAGCACAGAAGATATGGACATGGAACTTTAAGTTTTGATTTTTTCTTATATGGTCACCATTGTTTGTTGCTGATTTTGGTGAATATGATGCTGATTGACGACTATGATGCTCATTTTTTCGCTAGAAAGCATCTCAATCACAGTGCGCAATAACAACTTAAAATACGCTTTTTACGCAGGGATGTAATTTTCCTCGCAGAAGAAATTTTGATATTTGGGCTACATGAGCGTTCTTTTCACCAGAATACCTTTATAAAAGTCTCGTCAGTGATATTACGTCATTAAGTGATGATAAAGTCCTTTTTAAACTTAATTTCAATAAATACCAAATTAATGTTGGGACACCGCCAAGATTTCTAAGCCGTCCGAATGAGTTGCATGTACCAAAAGAGCTATGCACGCGGTATCGAACGCGTTGAAAAGGAAACTGAAAAGTCAGTGTGGAAGTTCACGAGATGTCGTGAAGGATTCACAGAACTCCATAACTTTGTCAGAGTTTCTGTTTTTGCCACGCAGTCTATGTTTAAACTGGAAAAAATCTAAGGGAATGTGGCATGAGTCTAATAGACAACCGTTTGAGCAAAAGCATCAGATCGAGCTATTGGTTATCTTAGTTCTAAATAGTAAGGTGACTTTTTCTCGTTAAAAAGAGAGATCATTAAGACCTGCTGTAACAAGATCGACATAAGCTTACATTCATTGAACGCTGAAGTGCATGACTCGATTAAGTCGATGAAGGAGGAGTTGAGGAGAACCGACGATCGTGCACAAAAACAGGTATATGTAGTCATTTTTTCCTTTTCAAACAAATATTGAAAAGGGCTCTCAAGGTTGATGATTTACGAGCCACGGTTGGCGATTTACGAGCCACACACGCTAAGGAGGTGGAACGACTTATGGATTTGATGAAAACACTATTAATAAGAGAGGGATCTACACAGACAGTACATGCGGAACCACAGCGAACAACGGCAGCACAGGTGGTTTCCTTGCTTTTGTGCTATCTCTTTTTTCTTATCCTTTCTCAGTGAAGATCAGTTCATATTGTTGTTTTAGATCTATTCAAATGCCGCTCCACCGAATAACTATGGCGCATCAACAAATCCATTAGGTGATTTTGCTGCTCAAGCTCAAGCACATTATGCGGCTTGTTACCTACACCAGTTACAGGAGCAACAGGTAGTTTCAACTTGTTGTGAAGTGATCATGTCAACTACTCGTGGTTTTTTCTTTGTAAAGTGGACATTCTGACCGTTTCTTTTTCCTCAGAGATTGCGTTCAATTGGTTTGTCTGGAGCTGCATATTTTGCAAACCATCAAGGTGTTATGAACAATATGGGACATCCTGGAGCATTCCCGCAAGGGTTGGGCATTCTGTTTCCTACATGCTGCCATTTACTATTGTATTCATAAAAAATCATCTTATATGTGTTTTAGTCCCCAAAATGCTCCATTGTTTGCTGCATCTGTTCCAAAGTTATCAGATGATGCTTCCAATCTACCACCTGTTCCTGTTTCTACTCAGTCATCAAACATTGCTGC